GAGCGTGAGAATCACATGATCTCGATGACGCAACAATATGAAATGTTATCGTAAAAGGCAGTGGTTCACAGGTCTAATGAAACCATTTATGACGTATCAATTAATCTACATGTAATTTTCACTTATTATTTGTTTTTTCAACACCTACTTAGTTGGCAGAGCGGTTGTCGATATCGGCTGAATAAACAGCCTATTTCATGAAATATACATGTTGGCTGTTCGTTTTTCATTATGTTATTAAATAAACCAACACGAAGTATGCCAACAGTGTGGTTTATGTTGATCCATTAGGAATTATATTACCGCCAGTATCTAGTCATATGGCCTGGCATGGCCAGATGGTTAGGGCGTTCGACTCGCAGTCTGAGGGTCGCGGGTTCGAGTCCCCGTCCTACCAAACATGCTCGCCCTTTCAGCCGTGGGGGCGTTATAAATTGTCCGTCAATCCCACTATTCGTTGGTAAAAAAAGTAACCCAAGAGTTGACGGTGGGTGGTGATGACTAGCTGTCTTCCCTCTAGTCTTACACTGCTAAATTAGGGACAGCTAGCACAGATAGCCCTCGTGTAGCTTTGCGCGAAATAAAAAAACAAACGAAACAAACAAATCTAGCCGTATTTATTGAGCGCTGATTGTGGACAACCACTTTAGAATACAAAAGAACGATGTATGTTTATATGTACGCGTTTAACGATGGTCATTTTGTTAAAATGGACAAGCCTTATACATCAAGTTTATCTTCCACTGTCATAGGGCAGTACGGGTCGATAGGAATGAACTCTGTGAGCTGGTCATTGGCTTTTATAACAATAATAAAACATTTTCAACGGTATCGCTATATTTGAGAAATTTTTATGTGATTTTTTCTTTTCATTGACGCTGCTTAATTGTATGAAGTGATTGTATATCTATATAATCAAAAGGGGACGTGTGTTGGAAGCGTCTTAAGTTTCTTTAAACTATACAAAAGGAACTTACGGACGACGTCACCATATGTGTAAGGAAAGTAGGTAGTACTGTGAATTGCAATAGGAACCGTATTTGAAGAATGGATTTGTCATCCCTCAGTGCTCCATCTCAGACAGCAGTGTTTACGTGTCAATGTTTAGTGTATGAATTTCTTCATTTGTTTATATATATACACTTAGAGTACCGGTACTGTTGCCCTGTTGAGTAGAGACCTGGAAGAAATATCATCAAGTTTTAACCCACGTTTTGAAAACGTAGCTAGATCTGGTGTCTCTTACAAGATAAGTTGATTGGTTTGTCATTTTTAAATTAGACCATTCGGCTCAAAGTGTCTTTGGTATTAGAGGTATTTGGTGGGTGTCAGTTGTTGTGGAATAGGTTTAACCGACTTAAGTTTAACCTCGCAGTCATTGAGACGCCCCACACGACCATCACACTCGTTCAGAACTCTACGGACCTAACCTCATACATGAATAGTCTAGGCAGGTTACTTAACAGTAGAATGGCAGAAGTGGTCCTGACTGGTTTTACATTTTATAAACTTTGTGCATTCAAATACAAAATACTACAACCAATATATATATATACATATTTACATTCTTACGCGAAGCACGAGATTTCCTCGCAAATCATGATATTCATTTTGCAGTTTAAAGTTGTATTTTTAGTATATCTTAAATTAATTTCAGACTGTTTTGACAAAGGATTATCAGTCAGTTTATTCAGTTGCTACATTTACAATCGTGATTTTAAAATTATCATCGTTTTCATAAAGTTTCATGTCAGTTCTGTAACATATTGAATAGTTTCATAAGGACTACTCTTTGCCTTTTGTGTAACATGTTGAATAATTTTATACGGACTGCTCTCTGCCTTCTATGTAACATATTAAATAGTTTCATAAGGACTACTCTTTGCCTTTTGTGTAACATGTTGAATAATTTTATACGGACTGCTCTCTGCCTTCTATGTAACATATTAAATAGTTTCATAAGGACTGCTCTTTGCCTTGTGTGTAACATGTTGAATAATTTTATACGGACTGCTCTCTGCCCTCTATGTAACATATTAAATAGTTTCATATAATGTGCTCTTTGCCTTCTATGTAACATATTAAATAGTTTCATATAATGTGCTCTTTGCCTTCTATGTAACATATTAAATAGTTTCATATAATGTGCTCTTTGCCTTCTATGCAACATGTTGAATAATTTCATCTGGTCGTTCCTCACAAGTAGCTGAAAATACAACAGTTTCTAGCCCCAAATGTTCAAAAACACGAGAGAAACAAGAAGAAAAGTTACTTCCTCTTGTAATAAATACACAATGGTAATATCTAATGTATTAGCAAAGAAACAGCTCAATTTAGCAGTGACTCAATCTATAAAACCTACAAATTCAGATTAAGTTTTTAATAATAATCTGATAAATCACAGAGGTATCAAGATACCTATATTCATACTCGCATTGATCTGGAAGTTTAACAAGAAATATGAATGGGAATTTTATTAAATAAATACCCCTATCGAAATACAACTGGTCGTTAGATTTGAAGCTGTTACCATGACTAACCTTGCACGCGTGCTCAGTCATGATCCAAACTTTTTTGGCGCCAAACTGGCAGCCTCTATTGTGGTATGGCAATCATATGGAAATATTCGTTTTGTTTGTGGTATTTGGTTAGGTCGTGTTAGGTTCGACGCAAGTAAGGAGTTCTTACTAATTCCTTTTTTTTTTTATATATATATGACGTTTATCAATATGGTGGCGCCACTGTCAGGAAATTAAACTAGCAGACACGTCATCGACCAAACCTTTCCCATTATTTCTCTATTAGTTTAAAATATATCTAGTAGTTGTCAGGGGCCAGCACGTGCAGACTAGCTGATCAACCACTGTTAGCAAGACATTTGTCAAAAATATAAGTATTTCTACATGAATGTTAACTTTGTTTCTTATTCTGAAGAGATTTTGAGGATGGCACTGTACCAACGTAAACGACAAAATGAGTAACGTTCTGGCCACACGACAAGATCAGGATGATGACTAATGTAGTTTTGGCAGCCAACGTTTTCTCTCTTATGCTTGTTTTAAAGAATATTTTTATAATTGTTAGATAATACAACACTGTCCTCGAATTTATTTGTTTTCTAACTCATTGTTATCGTGCAAAACAATATTAAACAATGCACAACATTAACGCTGCTCTGCTCAACTCCTAATTTCTTCTATTGTAGGTATTGAGAATTTCGTGTAAGTACTTAACCATAAAGCCAAACTTAGTTGTGGATAAGTATTGAAACTGTCACTCTTGTATTATCAAAACTGGGGATTTCTCTTACCCTTTCGTGAAGACTTCGGAGATCGTTGGTAATAATCTGAGGCCGGGGCTCTCCAACGCCGGACGTGCTGGTAGCATCAGAGTCGTCGTCAGCTTCGTGGCCGTCGGAGTCAAACTCATCTTTCGCCAGTTCGGCATCGATCTCATCCTCCATCTGGACCAAGAGTGGAGCGGCCATTCCGAATTTCGAACCTCGTCGTGCCACCTCCAGTAGACACAAGATGAAGCTTTTCTCGTTCTTCCTCAGCACCAAATCGTCTGTCTCGAACAGCAAGCATTCCATGATCGAGAGACTCCTACACCACGTGATAAAGTTGGAGACATTGTCCCGTGCATGAAATGTTCCGGGCTGGACCTCACTGCGATACACCACGTCACGCTCCGGGATGACCGTATTGAGGCCGTTTCGACCAGAGTGTCGCCAATCCCGAGCCGTTCTGACAACCTGATTTGCATGTCGACACAAAACGACCCCCGTTTCGAGACTTTCTATAAAATTTTCGGCAGTGATTCTTAGGTCGTAGAGCGTATTTAACCAGTCAGCTATGTCTTCTTTCATGGCATACAAATACTCTTCGCTCGACTTGAAAGGCCGAAGAGGTCGAGGTTCTAAGTGCATAACCTGAAATTCTCCTTGTCGTTCACCTTCATGACCATTTATCACTGTGTTCGCCATGATCTTCTAGTTCTCTCAACCCTTCCAAAAAAAAAAAAAAAGTTTTAGTGTAATTCTCTCATTCGGAACTATTGATCTACGTGGAAATGCTTCGATAAAAAAATCGAAGTACCTAGTCTTATCATTCAGGCTTAAAAACCACAATTATGTTGTGATGTTGAAATGTCGGAGAAGAATTATAGGTTTGTATTGCATCTCTGTTGCACACATGCTCGTTTTACGTTTTGGTGCGCATTTCTCACGTCGTCCTGGTCAAACGGCGCTCTACTTTCTGCGTTTCAGAAAACTTAACGCTCGTTTATAATTCAGTCTGTTATATACTTCACAGCTGTTTCTAGCTGCGCATTGCCACGTGATCCTTACACGAGCGCCATCTCTTAGCCGTTGCTAAAACAAAAGCACAGATTAAAAGTGTCACTACAAATGTATCGTCAGATTACCAGAAGCTACAGTTGTTGTTTCTGACTTTCCAAACATTAGAGTACATATCAAGCGTAAATAGAACCAAACTGAACAACGTTCTTGACGTATTTGATGTTGATGAAATTAAATGAGTTCCTTTGTCATAAATCAGTATAACAGATCAGCTAATAACTGTGTACATGTTCTTAACTACCACAACTATAGAATTGGTAGGTAGATTACGCGTCTTGTTCACGTCTTATCAAAAACTGTTAGACATAGAACGCAACATTAAAATACTTGTGAACATAGATAAAAATAAATAATTACGCAGTCACTTTGAAGGAAGTGTACAGGAGTTGTTAAAATAATTACGTAATGTTGATTAAGAAATATTATATATGGACGATATTTGATAATTCACTAGTTTGTTTTTCTTATATGTCGCAAAGCTGGCACTGTGCTCATCGCAAGGATTAACCCAGGATTTTAGCGTTATAATACCTAAAGGTTACTGCTGAGCCACCGGAAGGATTGTTTTTTCTAGCCCCGAGGCCGCATACGACCCTTGAGGCACCTTATATACTCCTGAATCATCGATGATTCGCGGGCAGATTTACCTATTAGTGTCCATCTCCTGTCTAGGTAGTCGTCCCTTGTCCCTAATTCAGCACTGAGGCACCTTATATACTCCTGGATCATCGATGATTCGCGGGCAGATTTACCTATTAGTGTCCATCTCCTGTCTAGGTAGCCGTCCCTTGTCCCTAATTCAGCAATGAAAAACTAGAGAGAAGGCAGTTACTCAAAACCACCTATCACCAACTCTTGGGCTACTCTTTTATTAACGAATAGGAAGATTGACCGTAATATCATAACTCTCTTACAGATAAAAGGCCGAGGATGATTCGAACCACCGACTCACTGATTACAAACCGACCGTCCTAACTACCAGGCCATACCAGACAGTACAGTAGAGCTAAATTTTTGACTTGGTTTGAACTAATTCGATTGTCTGGTAAATGTCTCCAATCCTGGTTTCAATTTTGAAATATTTACATGTAATTTTAGGATAACTAATGAAACGTGTGTTTTAAGTGTGCACCTCGTAAGCTTATATACGATATATCTACGTTTGAACAAGCTGAGAGTTATTGTGGCAAGGGCTTTAACATAAATTCAGTAGTTTTCTCTACGGAAATCTTAAAAAAATATATATACAAGTTGTTTTGTATAATTAATTAATTTCTATATATATTTTATACATTTGTTCCGAGCTTTTCTAATTTCAACAAATAAGTCCAACACATATATTAATTTTGCATTTTGTTACAAATCTCAGTCATTAGCATTATGTGAATTTTTAGAGTAACTAGTTTTAGACTAATATAAACGACACCAATTATTTTAGCGTCATAAGCCCTGTCGTAATGTTGGCTGGACCTAAGAATCGGATCACGTCCATGGCGCCGCCATGTGTTACAAACGAGAACTTCTACACCTGTCCAAGTTTTCCCTTTTGCACGAATAAGTTAGTATTTATTTATATATGTACGTAAAGCTATTACTTCAAGTTTGGAAAGTTCTACGTTATGAACACACATGCGTTAAAAGTTTTTTTTTTTTGTTTTTTTTTTCCACTTTAGCGTACAAAGAAGCACGGTTACTTTTATCGCTATAGCACACTTACACGCATGCGCGACCTATTTCGATAGCAGGTTTATCACGGCAACGCAACAAGGTTAGACAATTTTTCAAAGTCCGTCATTGAGAAAAGGCTCGTGAGTGAACTGTTTATTGTAGAAGAAGAACTAACAATTACAAAGCCATTAACTAAATCAACTTAAATATATCAAAATGTGTCAAAAACAAAGTTTGGTTTGAATATCGTGCTAAGCTACTCGAGGGCTATCTGCGATAGTTGTCCCTAATCTAGTGGTGATAGACTAGAGGGAAGGCAGCTAGTCAACACCACCCATCGCCAATTCTTGGGCTACTCCTTCACCATTCACCAACGAATGGTGGGATTTACAGTCACATTATAACGACCCCACGGCTGAAAGGGCGAGTATGTTCAGCGACGGTGATTCCCACCAACCAGGCCGTCAAAGAAAAGGAGCAGTACTTTATATGTATTTATATAATTTGGGGATTCAAACATCAAGACCCACTTTGGACTATTATATCTTTGATACCACATGGTAACAAAATGGATTACTGGCAGGCTTAAAACTAAGAATAGAGATTTCTCGCCAGAATACATTTAAAAAAAAATACTAGTGATGTCCATCCAGCTTTAAGCTTAAAATCTCGCTTGGCTTTTTTTTTTTTCACATCTAGAAAACATTGGATTTAAAGGGGCGCTCTAGGCCAACATGTACTCAAACCGTGTAAATGTAGGAAAAATAGAAGCAACTGAAGCATGATCTCATATATATAATATATTCAAAAGTACCTGCAGTGGATGTTGAATGAGAAGGTTCAAAAGTTTACGAGAAGTTGAATTCTTTTTACTAGTTTAAATATAAGAATTTGATATCTTTAATTTCAAGTTAGATAAGTATCAAAACAGTGAACCTGTCACCACAGCATATAGGTTTTGCAAGATTCGATATATGGTTATGACATCCTCATACGAAGAGGAACTTTCGAAATGTCTGTTTTGTTGTTAAGCACACAACTGCACAATGAGCTATATGGCTTTGCCTACCACGGGTATGGAAACCCTATTTTTAGCGTCATGAGCCCTGAGACTTCCTGGTGAGTCACTGGGGGGGGGGGGGGCTAAACGTCTCTACATCACAAAGTAGTATTTAGAAGTAACTAGGTTTTTGTAGCACTATTCTTACATCAAAAGTCGACAATGTTAACACAAATAAACAGTTTACGCTAACTTTAGTGTCTTATGATAAATATCTATAATCCTAACACAATAACTTCTAGGTCATCAAAGATCCTGAATATGCATAAAACTTCTGCCTGAGCCTAAACATCTACAATTTTGGTTTGGTTGTTGTTAAGCACGTGTATCGAATCCTGAATTTTAGCATCGTAAGTCTGTAGACTTACCGCTGATCCACTGGGTGGGGCTACAATAGGTGGTAAGTAAGCGGATATTAAAATTAAAATATCGGTAAAATAATAGCTGCCATATAGAAAGTCAAGATTGATAAATATGTTTCGGCTGCTGTTAAGTACAAAGTTGCATAAAGAGCTATCTGTGCTCTGCCCGCTACGGGTAGTGATAAGTATGAATTTTTGAGGTTATTTTATTGTTATCATTGTTGGTATGTAAGTAATAGTTAGGTAAGAGTGGTCAGTGTAATATCAGGAAAACATTAAATACACTTTAGAAACTAATAAGCACACACTAGAATATATATATATATTTAAATTTTGTTTAATTTAATTATTAGTGTTTGGAATGATAAATCTGAACCAATCCATATCACGAATATACAAAGCTTAGCACATGAGTAAAAATTTGTTAGATTAGAAGTTTCGTATGGAAAACTAAAATGTATACATTTCACCAAGCTGAACGTACACACTTCGTGTGTGGGTTGTACATGAAAAGTAACTAACAAAATTCACGATAACAGATGCCGAACCCATTAAGAAGATGTTGACTTGATAACTAGCATTGAGTTGATCAAATAATTCAATGTTCTTCCTATAAGTATTTATACAACCATCACGCTACTTATATAATCACATCTCTAGTAAAACAACATAGATAGTGTTACTGATAAGTAGATGAAATGACTTGACTGATTGTCGTAATTTTAGGTGGTATTTTAACATTAATGACTATATATACATACATGTAATTATATATATATATATATATATAATTACATACGTACCTAGTAATGGCTGGAGACGGCTTAAATGGGTAATGAAGAAAACTTAATAATAAGTTAATATGACAGCAATAGTACAACGTTTCGACTAAGTACGTGGGAGGACG